CATTTTCAGCAGACCCATAATAAATTTATGAAAGAACCAAATTTTATGACTGTTTTTTGTGACAAACATGTATGTGTTCCGATCACTCTATCACAGAAAAATAAGAGTTGTAGAACTTATTGAAAACTCAAGACAGCCATAACATTATGTTTCTTTACAAGTGTATGTAAACTTTTGACCACAACTGTATGATATTGATTCACATTGAGCATATGATGACGATATAGATCGATATTTTCATTTTGCCTCGATATAACTGAATCATGAAACATTCAACTCGATACATCGATAAAGATCGATGTACTGTTACACGACTAGTAGAAATCAGCATTGTTAACAAAACCAGTCTGAAAGTACAATACTGGATCTAACATTCAATTAATGATGTACAAACTTTCCTTCAATAGTACACTCCATGTTTGTGCTGTTGTACACAGTAACTTTTAAATCTTTTAATCCTTCACATGCAAATCATATATGATAGAAAGCATTAAAGTTACACATAAACAACACTAAACTTTTTACAAAATAGACTTAATTTTTCTACATTTCAAAAGATGTTAACATCCATGTTAAGAGAGTACAGTGTGACAGTATTGTGATGTTTTTGACATGTTTGTCTTTGCTGTAGCTGTGTTTTTCAGTCAGAGAACCAGAGCCAGTGTTTGACATTGTCTCTGAAGATGGAGATCAGAAGCTCAAACAAGTGAGTCCTTTATTAGTTCAATAGTTTTAAGGTTAATTTCCTTTTCCTGTTGTCTGCCTCAACAATAATATTGCATTGCCAGTTGTAAAATAAATAAATAGTTTTAAAACTAGCTTTGACCATAAGCTACCATATTTATTTGTGTATAATACGATCTCATGTATAATACGACCCCCCCCCCTTTTTTGAGCTTAAAAACCATAAAAAATTGAATCCTCAAACTACCTCCAATTTCATACAGACTTCAAGATTTTTCAGCCTTTGCAGTCTTTATACAGTATATATCAGTAAATTGGTCATTGGACTGTTCATTTTATTTTAACAACATATGTACTAAAAGGTATTTTGACAACAAATAAATATTAGCAAACTGATTTTGAGCATCATATGAATTCTGGCATTTTACACATTGTCCACCAGGATGCGCCAACACAAAAGTCAGCGACTTCACATGACATTTGGGCCATCTTCAAGCAGATACAAGCAGAAAACTTACTACTCGTGAGCGCCCCCTCTGGTGGGAAAACTTTTTTCAGGGATACAAACTTTTTCAGAACACCGGTAGACGGCAGCAGACGGACATGTTTGTCGTTGTTCCAGCAGCGGCTCGGTCACACGCTAATGTCATTAGTTTGTTATCATTACTGACCTGAGTGAAGTTGGCCCCCAACCTTCTTCAAATCAGACAAAATTGGTCAAACGTTTGTGCTGGTTTGTGCAGCAAAAAATTTCGTTTGTGCCGCTGTCATTTTAGAGATAAAAAGAAAATGTTTCTAAAGGTCATCCGAGG